GGCATATGCCTTGTTTCAAGCTTAAAAAACAAGTCAGAGTTCCGGGGCCCTCTTATAGGGAAAACAAGAATAGATCCATTGCCTACCCAAAGGCATGTCGTAAGAGTCGACTAATTGGGGGCTTCTTTCAAAGTCGGAGTGCATCTACCTGAATGGCAAGGAACCAGCAGTCTGCATACAAATGAGTCATATGTAAAACGGATGCACACGCAAAACTCAGGTTCTGGAACAGGACTGCAGTCCAGAAGTTGACGATTCTTAAAATTGTCAAATCAAATGCAAAAGATATTTTCTTCTTTTTCTTCTTCTTCTCTTTGTTCCCCCTTGCAGCGGCTGTTGACACTTTTGTGTTTGAATTTACCACCAGGCGATATCTGCGCTTTGTGGCCATAAACATCCGATTTCAGAAAATCGCTAATTAGTAGATTGTAACACCCTGCTTATTAGTGCTGCAAAAAGTCTATGCCCCCTCCTGCACCAGAAGTTGCTGCCCGGAATCTTCACGGGGAGTAAAAGAGACAATAACAAACAAAACGTTCGTAGATTCATACAAACACCGAATATTTCATAAAGATCCCTTTTCACGCCTCAAGGCGTATCGGGTATATGGGAAGAGCACCCATATTTTTACAGACCATTGGCACTAGGTGGGTAATGTGGTCAGCATTACGCCGGCCGTCTTTACTTTCCCTGGATATCCAAAACATTACCCATTTTAGGCTGGGTCGAATATTTCACGAGAAGAACAGAAAGTGATCAATGACGGAGAGCATCCTTCATATTGACAGACTATATGTGTAGTTCAAACCAATCAGGACCGTACAACGAGCGACCAACACCCAGTGACACAAAGTGCCACCATTCGGATGAGGATCACTCGGACGCAAGTTCTAGAAACCCCTTCAATGTTAGATTATATTGCGGCCCCAGACTACAGCCGGAGTGGGGCTTTAAAATAACAACAAACTGGATCCCACATTGCAGGAATTTGCGGAATTTCACCAGACTAACATTTTTTTATTAAGTATCCAGAAACCATGAGTTTTAACCCTTTGGCTCGGTACTAGGGATATCGCAACCCTTCGTCCTTGATTCCATGATACCGTATATCTGGGGGAAATGTCGGGAAACCCGGACCACAAGGAGTTCGTCACCCGGTGGCCGCGAAGTCGGGCTTAACCAACTACGCTAGCGAGTCGAGCTCCCACAGACTAACATATCGTCTGTTTACACGTTACAAGGGACGTTTTCCTATAACTGTCAGAGTTGACATACAATGATATGTTGTGGTCATATTACCGGTATCTGTTTCCCATTTTCTGTAAGTGTTGACATTGACGTGGGCGACGCCCTCTGATTGTTGTACAAAGGAATAAAAAACAAACATTTGGGGACTACGTGACGTAAGAAATAGTAATAAACTATATTCACGTGTAAAGAAAAAAAACTCCTACATCAGCGACGGGGTCGCATATTAGCTCGCCGGTAGACTACTTCGTCGTCGATCGAGACAGTATTTGGGTCTGTTTCATTTGATCGGATCAACACTGCAAGAGTCGTTTTCATGGTGGAGTGCAATGTTAAGCCATTTTATATGGCGCACATAACCTAGTCACAATTATAACCTAAAACTTCTCTTTCTCCTCAATGCCTAATTAGGTCGGTCCGTTCCTTTGTGCGGCTGACCCACCCTCTGGTCTTCTCCCATTTTATAGTCTTAAGAGAGTCGCCGTGGTGCAGCGGCTAGAGGCTCCCCTGTGGATCAGAAGGCCGTGTGTTCAAGTTCTGATGGTATCGGACTTTTTTCAAAAATGCCCTTGACTCCCAGGTCGACCCAGCCTTGAGTGGGTACTAGGCGCAGTCCTGGGAAGTAAAGACAGACGGGGTGGTGCTCATCTCATCACAAACCGAGTGCCGACTGATCTAAAATATAGGTCTAGCCATGCATAGCAAAGCACCACTCCATAAAACTCGTATTTTTCTAAATAGCGTTCCCCGACTGTAAATTTTGTTGGAAGGATATAGTTGTTTCCCTTGTTCTGCTGGACCGTGGGTGTCAGCAGGTTCAATAACACTGCACTAGAGGACAAGTACACTTCCCGTGTGGGTTTTGAAGATCTGTAGTAGGGAAAACAAGCACAGACACACTGCCTACTCAAATTCATGTCGTAGAAGTCGACTATTTGGGGGTTACCTTCGAAGTCTGAGTGCTTCTGCCTCACTGGCAAGAAACCATCAGTCTGCATACAGGTAAGTCAGATGTGAATAACGGATGCGCACGCAACACTCCGATTCTGGAACAGAAGTGGATGGTCAACTAAAACTTTCTGCTGGAGTTTACAGTTGGTGAACATGAAGAAGAGGAAGGAGACACGAACGCAGGAGAAGTGGAAAGCTATAGACACATTCGGATTATTAGTATTCGTGATCTACAAAGAAATATGTTGTTGTCTCCTCAACGAAGGTTGCCTGCAATCTCTGCTTCTTCGCATTCACCGACTGTTACTCCTCAGAAAGTTCTAACTGTTGTCCCACCTCCAGACAATAGCAGTTCTTGTTCCAGGAGTTTTGCGTGCACATTTTTTTTTTACGGATAGCTTATTTGTATACAGACTGTTGGTTCCTCGACTGTCAGGCAGATGCACTCTGACTTCGGAGAATGCCTCCCATATAGTCGACTCTTAGGACATGCTTGTTGGGGAATCAGTGGGTGTATTGTTTTTCCCACAATGGGGTACCAGAACCCACACGAGGATTAAGCTGTAACTAATTTACTGCTAACTATGGGGATATTATCTCTTCCACTGAGAAAAAGATGGGGGCGGGGCAAACTAGTCTGGAAGGCTTTTTTTGAGCTGCCGTATTGGGGGCAACTGAACAGAGGGAAAAGTTGAGGTCTGCATTGTTAACTATTTCAATAACCCCGGGGTCATAGACACACAGAATAAAACTTGCAAGATCGTTTCTGGTTCTGTCGAGAAAACTGCCTGTTTGGCTTTATTTGTATGAGGATTTTGTGTTGCTTTCACTGGTAAGTAAAAAATAAAGGACCTTTTTCAACACCTTCAGGCATGTATTGGGCCAGACCTAAATTTTATAGACCAACCGGCACCGGGTATGCAATTAAGTAAAGTAAATTACCTTTTTACGACAGCAGCGGAGCATCAGGCACATGATTTTAAACTCATTACCCACTTTCACCGAAGAGAAAGTAATTTTAAGGTGGTATGAAGTTGGGAACATAATCAACTTAAAACGTCTGTACCAACATCATCATCACGTGTTTTGCTGACTGCTTTGGGCGCTTAAAATCTTGCAATCTGCAACAGCGTACATTCATTTTTTATTTTTCTTCTTCAGGTTCACCGGCTGTAAATGCCAGTGGACAGTTATGGTTCTTTGTCACCTTCAAACTGCTGTCTTGTTCAATGTCATGGGGGTTGCGTGCACATCCGTTTTACAAATCAAGCTTATCTGTATGCAGACTACTGGCTCCTGCCCCTCAAACCAGATGTGTATAATGGACAAAACTCAAGTTCTGGAACAGAATCAAAGTGCAGAAGTGGATAAACAACCAAAGCTTTCCACTGGATTTTACAACCGGTGAAGGATAGGAAGAAGAGGAGAGTAGGATCTGCAAATATATAATAATAATTTTAAAAAAGAACAAAAACTAAATATACAACACAGTTTCTCTTAAATGCTTCTATTGTCGTTAAAAATACATCATACACACATCTCCAAATGTAAAACCACATGATGAGTAATAATGGATGAACAGGAAATCTTCAATCAGTGCTGATATGAAAGCAACTCAACACTGTGTTTAGCCTGTGAGCTGAACTCAATATACAGCCGTATTTACAGGAAATTCAAGATAGGGCACCCAGAAGATGACGATGTTGTTCAACCCCACCAGGACACTGTCCCAGCGATAAACGTCCAGTGACACAAAGTGCCACCATTCGGATGAAGGCCACCCGGGGACAGGTCTCAGAACCTTGTTCAACCCACAGGTTGGGTTATATTAGGTTCTTCGGCAACAGCCAGAGTGATGCTTTAAAACAACAAACAAATTAAGTCCAACATTGGGATGCAGGTATTATGGGGCACTCACAACTCTGCCCATATGAACAGGTACCACACAAATACTGTAGATGTGCTGTAGACATGTTCCCAATATGCAGAAGAGAGATCCAAGGCATGGCTAGTTGGTATCCGGTAGAAACCAAGCTGAAAGAATCAGTGGAGGACACATGTTACACTACAGACTTCATGGAGACCTGTGGCCTTCTTGTCTCAAAACCACAGGCAGGATGGGGAGAAAAAAAAACAGAAGTATCATTTCAACAGCAGTATACTGATTTTCAACACATGAATTCACCATGTGGATTCCAGGGCCCCGATTGTGTGGGGGAAAGAAATAGACCCATTGCCTCCTTAACAAGCATGTCATAAAAGACAACTAATGAGTGGGTTAGAGAAATCAGAGGCGTTGGCTCAATAGATAAAGATTGTGTACCTCGATGTAAAGCAAAACACAATATACTAACCTCCCTTTTCAGGGCAAATACAGATAAAGAAAAAAAAAGAAGTGCTTTATTGATATCCTACCCCAAACAGGGGAAATTCACAGGTCACTTGACAGTCTAATATTTCAGGGGGGTGGTAGATAGGCTCCATGCAGTTGTGAGACCAAGGCTGCATGCATTTGTGGGGCTGCACTCTCTCATGGGACGTAGGTGGGTTGGGATTTGGGCCAGTTCTAGATGTTTTGGGATCGTTAAAAGCATCAAAGAGCCGGGAAACCCAGTCTTACCACCCTCTAAAATTTTGGACTGTCTTGTGACATCATCTGAGGTAGGATATTAATAAAGAACCAAAAAAAAAAAAAAGAAGCAGAAGAAGAAGTAGAAGAAGACTAATATAAGTGAACATGTTTTAGCTGTGCCCAGAACAAACAGAATAAGTGTCAAATGTTACATGCAAAAAGACACCACTCATATTGTATTGAGTTTTGTAGTAATTATCACACGGATGGTCTGGTCAAAAGATGTGCAAACTGAGAGTCCCATCTTGTCCGGGCTCCAGTCAAAGCTGCTCACTGGTTGAGTGGATAACGTCACGTTCTGGAGAAGGTCAACGGTGCCTGCTACACCAGTCTCCACCCCTTCTCCATCAGTCTTGGATCGAGATGACGGGTACGAGCTGTAAAGATGAAACAAACATTCAAACCTGTTTAGCAGTGTCTAATATAGTTTTTTTTTTTAAATCATAGTTACCCGATTACGTTGTACTACTCTACAAAACAAACAAAAAATGAATGGCTACTAAAAGGAACATAATTCTGACATTCAAAATCTTTGTAATTTAATGAGTGAAATTTTTCAAACTGCACACAAGAATACCTTTGGATTTAATCAAGCTATTGAAAGTTCTTTTGCATCTGAGTAACTGATACTTTTTAGGTGTAGGGATTTTCCCACCAACTAATAATAAATGCACCAAGGGATAACTATGCATTTCCATTTCTTTCTTTCTTTTATTTATTTTTTTTACAAGAAAGTGCCATTGGATAACTTTGCATTTCCTTGTTGGTGTTTTTTGTTTTTTATATTCGTTGATGAGCTCCGTCACTATTAAGACTGATGTTCATTTCTGTAAGGCTGTTCTTAATGCCATCACTCATATTTTCCTAGGTCTTCCACTCGCTCTATACCTGTTGTAACGTTTTAGTGTGGCTCGCTGAGGCAGATAGTACCAAGGCATTCTTGTTAGGTGTCCAAACCACTTCATTTGTTGTTCTTTGATGACCTGTAAGACTGGCTTTATTCCTAGCATTCGTCTGATTTTGTGATTTCGTATTCTCTCTTTCCTTGAAACTCCTGCAGCTCTTCTAAGGCATTTCATCTCTGTTGTCACAATTTTACTATCACTGGAAGATGTAAGTGTCCATGTTGGGCACTGATAGCATAGTGTTGGCCTAAATTAAGTGCTGATAAGATTCATTTTAGTTCTTAGTATTCAGCAGCTGTAACCTCTGATGGAAAGTTCCAGTTGTTCTTCCACCCAGGGATGTTGATCTTAATCTAGAACTTGAGTTTTGAGTGCACATCCATGTGTTTAGTGTGCACATCTATGTGTTTTGTGTGCACATCCATGTGTTTAGTGTGTACATCCATGTGTTTTGTGTGTACATCCATGTGTTTAGTGTGTACATCCATGTGTTTTGTGTGCACATCCATGTGTTTAGTGTGCACATCCATGTGTTTTGTGTGTACATCCATGTGTTTAGTGTGCACATCCATGTGTTTTGTCTGCACATCCATGTGTTTTGTCTGCAAATCCATGTGTTTTGTCTGCACATCCATGTGTTTTGTGTACATATCCATGTGTTTTGTGCACATTCCTGTGTTTTTTGTGCACATCCATGTGTTTTGTGTACATATCCATGTGTTTTTTGTGCACATCCATGTGTTTTGTGTGCACATTCATGTGTTTTTTGTGCACAGCCATATGTTTTGTGTACACATCCATATGTTTTGTGTACACATCCATGCATTTTGTGTGCACATCCATGTGTTTTGTGTGCATATCCATGTGTTTTGTGTACATATCCATGTGTTTTGTGTACATATCCATGTGTTTAGTGTGCACATCCATGTGTTGTGTGTGCACATCCATGTGTTTTGTGTACATATCATGTGTTTAGTGTGCACATCCATGTGTTTTGTGTGCACATCCATGTGTTTTGTGTGCACATCCATGTGTTTTGTGTGCACATCCATGTGTTTTGTGTGCACATTCATGTGTTTAGTGTGCACATCCATGTGTTTAGTGTGCACATCCATGTGTTTAGTGTGCATATCCATGTGTTAAGTGTGCACATCCATGCATTTTGTGTGCACATCCATGTGTTTTGTGTGCACATCCATGTGTTTTGTGTGCACATCTATGTGTTTTGTGTGCACATCCATGTGTTTTGTGTGCACATTCATGTGTTTAGTGTGCACATCATGTGTTTAGTGTGCACATCCATGTGTTAAGTGTGCACATCCATGCATTTTGTGTGCACATCCATGTGTTTTGTGTGCACATCCATGTGTTTTGTGTGCTTTTTTTTTTTTTGGTGCAGTTTGTTAGTTCTTTGCATTCCGAATTCAAAGAATGCACCCAGTTAGCCTAACATACCTTTATCAATCTAACAAGCAAAGAAAAAAAATGATAACAACATTTCAATCTGCCAACACTTAGAACATTTCAATCTGCCAACACTTTCAACATTTCATTTAAATCCGCCATCACTTAGAACATTTATATTTGCCAACACTTAAAATATTTCAATCCACCAACACTTAGAACATTTGAATCTGCCAACAATCAGAACATTTCAATCTGCCAACACTTACTATTTCCATAAATTCAGAGAACCGTTGCCTCCTAAGGTCATGAAGACATCTCTGTTTTGAGGCAGATGTCGGGCGAGCCAGACTGTTGAGTTGTGTGCCTAAATAAAGATAAATAATTGATTTAAAAAACAAAACAATATTATATTGTGTGCACACATATGCTGAATCAACCAAATCTAGGAGCATGGGAAAAAGTATATTTCTTTTTCTTTTTATTTGTGTTCACCAGCTGTAAACTCCTTTAGAAAGTTCCCGTTTTTCCACTATCTCTAAACTTGCCTTGTCCAAAACTGAGTGTTGCATGCGCATCTGTTTTACATATCTGACTTTCTATGCAGATTGTTGGTTCCTTGAAAAGGTATTCTTTGGTGTGTATCCTTTCGATGGATCAATCAGTCTGTTCCCTCTGGGCTTCTATCTAAAAGTTTACCATTGCTGAAGAAGAACCCGATGTAATGAAGACAATCCTCTCGACTTTAACCTTTCTGCCCAAAACAATGCATGGCAAGCCATGTACACCCAGCAACCAACTATGTGACCTGATGTTTAGCCTCAGTATACTACAGAATATATATAATAAACAAGCAGAAAAATATCTTGAGGCCTCGGAGATGTGGTTTTACAGAAGAATCCTTAGAACTCCTTGGACAGCTAAGAAGATCAACCAAGATGTTTTGAAAGAGGCGAGTACTCGGAGATATCTTATCCCAAACATCAGAAAAAGACAAGTCATCATTTTTGGTCATGTTATGAGATGAGGGAAAATAGAGCATGTTGTGACCACTGGAAAGATCTGTGGAAAGAGAGACAGAGGAATACAACGCATGAAGATTCTTGAAGGCCTTTTGTCATGGCATGGAGGGCTGTCAACACACAAACTGATGCACGCAGTGGGGATCGCAGACTGTGTAAAGGCATGATCACCCACGCCAGTCAGCAAGGCACTAGATCATGATGATAGTACAGAAACCTGGCTAGTTATCTTAATGCCCCAACTATGTACTTGTGTTACTACATCTGTGGCAGTCAGGTTATCCTATTTATACCTTTCTTAATATCCTACCCCAAACAGGGAAAATTCACAGGTCACGGGACAGTCTAATATTTCAAGGAGTGGTAGATAGGCTGCAGGAAGTCGTGAGACCTAGGCTGCATGCAGTCATGGGGCCTAGGCTGCATGCAGTCGTGGGACCTAGGCTGCACTCTCTTGTGGGACGAAGGTGGGTTGGGGTTAGGGCCAGTTCTAGATGTTTTGGGGTCGTTCAAAGCATCAGAAAGCAGGGAAACCCAGTCTTACCACCCTCTGAAATGTTGGACTGTCCTGTGGCCTCATCTGTGGTAGGATATTACAAAAGAACCTCCAATTTTATATTCAAAGTTACTTCTGCTTTTTTGTCTTGACAGCATCGGCCTTTTCTCAAAAATGACCTTGGCTCAAAGGTCGACCCAGCCTTTATGGGTACCAGGTGGAGTCCTGGGAAGTAAAGGTGGTTGGCATGATACTGAGCACATCACCCACCCAGTGCCGGCTGGTCTATAAAATATGGGTCTAGCCCTATGGCCCGATACGTCTGAAGGCGTTGAAAGGTTCCTTTACTTTTTACCTGTTTTACTTTGGGGATTATCCTGCGAAATCTTTTGGTGCTTAAAGAACTAACAAAGAATCTTTCAGTTCAGACTGTAGTCCCAGGGACCAAGCTGACAACCTCAAAGGAAGGCAAAAAAAATTTGTATTTGCACTGCAGGCTAGACAGGAGGATTCCAGTTTTGAGAGCTGAGCCTATGCGGAAAGACAAGGGAATGTTCATTTTTTGGCCAATATCTAACGGGGATCAGTTTCAGACATCCTAGAGTGGAAGTTGTGTTAAAACTAATCTGGGAAAACTTGTAATACCTGCTCTTTCCAATAACTCAGTGTTTATGATCTTGTCCTGCCATTTAATGCCGAGTATTCTTCTTAGGCATCGCATGTGAAAGTGGATTAAACAATGTAATATAATTCCAGTAGTTAAAATCATGTAACATTTCAAGTAGGTAAAACAATGTTATATATTTCAAGTTGTTGAAAGCATGTAATATTTTTAGTGGTCAAAACCAAAGTTATCTGTAATAAGCTTGACAGTACCACTGTATCACAGAGAGACGTTCATTTTCAAGTACAAAAAATATTACAGCAATCCCAGATTTAAAAATTACACAGAAAATTAGCTTCATACATTTTACTAACCTTTTCTGTAAGAGATGCAAAGCCTTTACTCGGATGCTGGGTCCTCATATCATAAACATGAAACTTGGATTCTAAAGTTGTAGCTACCAGTTTGTTCATAGCAATGTCTTTACGGTCAAACTCAAGGCAGCATACCTGCAGACATAAAATCATCGGTACAAATGAGACAAAGCAGTTTTTAACCATCAAGTTATTTTGAACACATTAAGTCTTTCTGTGCTTCATTAATATCCTGCCCCAAAAGGGGAAATCCGCAGGTCACGGGACAGTCTAATATTTCAGGGAGGTGGTAGATAGGCTGTATGCAGTCAAAGGACCTAGGCTGCACTCTCTCGTGGGAGGTAGTTGGGTTGGGGTTAGAGCCAGTTCTAGATGTTTTGGGGTCGTTAAAAGCATCAGAAAGCCGGAAAACCCAGTCTTACCACCCTCTAAAATGTTGGACTGTCCTGTGACGACATCTGGGGGTAGGATATTAATACAGCACCAGTCTTTCTGTTCTTATCTTCTTTATATCAGTCCAGAGTCTATGGTAGGTACATAACATAACCGTTAACCCCTTAAGGTCTTGGATGAAAACACTAACACACAAAACCTGCCATCTTCCTCTGTCTTCTGCTTGATGAATAAGTGTATGATAATTTAGTCCTGTCCATTTCTTGAGGTTGTCATTCCAGGTTCTTCTTTGCCTTCCTCTTCTCTGACTAGCCCTCAGTGTTCCTTGAAGTACAGGTAAAGTAGCATCCTCTGGATTGTTTCTTCAGTACATGCAGGTGTGAAGGACAGACAGAGGCAGACTGGCTGGTGCTGAACCACTGGGTGGTGACTTGATGTATGACAAGCTAGATGTGGTCAAGGCCCTAACAAACATGTCCTAGAAGGCATTGTTTCCTGTGAAGTCATAGTCAATCTGCCTGAGAGGCCATGTGTGCAAAAGAATTGGCCAAACAACCAGAACTTTCCCCCAGAGTTTACAGTCAGTTAATGCTAAGAATAAAATAAAGAATGCATAAGGCAGTTCTCATAACAGATGTCATTTGTGCCAACACAAACAGTCCAGAACTAGAACTGCAGTTCACCGAATAAAGCCATACCAGTTCTGGGGCAACAGGCAGAGTGGCAAGCTTCCCTGGGAAGGTCATGGGTAGTGAGAATACTTTGGATCATTTCTCCAGGCTATGCCGGGGTGGTGGGTAATGAACAGGCAGACAGACTGGCTGGATCTGCACCACCGGGTGGTGAATTAGTAGAGAAACAAGATTATTATGGCCTGGAGAAAATGAGGCTCCTAGGTGTAACCAGAGTGTCTGGCCGGCTCACTATACTCAGAGGAAATGCAAGACGGACATATAACCAGATTGTGACCGGTACCATCAGTATTGGAACACTGAGCTGGCTGCTGAAGATTAGTACGGAGCACACATGGGAATTCCCCGAGTGCTGTGATATCAATTCTTGACTCAACTCAACTAAATGATCATTTTATGAATCTGCACTTTCTCTTCCATTATATTTTTACAAACAAGTAACCATTTGATCATACTTACACATATTCACACATTTGTAAACCACAATGTTTTAAGCAAGTCACTTAACCCCATTTATAACATTAGAACTCTATTCAAGACAAGGCTGTTGAACTACAGAAGAAATGAAAATGTAAAAATAATAGGAACAGGCTAAACCAGTGTTTCCCAAACTTTTCGTAATCGGGCGCCTTTTTTCATCATCATCAGTTCTCGTTATGCCTAGTGGCACATGAGGCTTCAGAGAGGACTTTCCTGCTTTTCTGTCCTGTGCAAACTTCAGTGCAGTTTTCCATGTCAAAGATGCCGCACTCTTTTTTCCATGCGCCCTAACCTAAGTAAAAGTATGACTATTCGTATGTAAGAGACCCACACAAAAAAAATACTTGTGTATCTTCAAATATTTTGCGGCGCCCCAGTGAAAACGTTGCGGATCCCTGTGGCGCACAGTTTGGGAATCACTGAGATAAGGTACTGAAAAGGATACTTCTTCTATCAGGCCTGTGGTGCCAGACACTTGTTTTACATTGATCATTCAGCGCATGACTTGTGAGGGGGTCAACATAAAGCCAGCCAACTTTACTTCCTTGGATATTTTCTGTTGCTTATTTCTCAAAGCTGCACTGACATAGAAGACAAGGTCAATTATAAAACTCCAACTCGACTTCAGTTCAAACCCATGACCTCTGCAGCAAGCATCTCACCACACAGAAAGATGCCTTAACTGCAGGGTTCCTGTGCAGATAAGGTCATAAGGTTTAAGGTCATAAGCTTTCAGCTGCTTTTTATCATTCAACATCATCCGGTAACACTACGTGTCATTGGGTCACCAGTTTCTGTTGACTGTCTGATCAGTTCTCTCCACCTTTGGCGGTCAGTTGCGATGGACTTCATGATTGCATGCCTGAGGCCTGTCCAGTCAGTCAAGTTCTGTAACCAGGTCTTTCTTGGTCTGCTTCTTCTCCTCTTTCCCTCTACTGCGCCCTGCAGTACTGTTTTACAGAAGACATTAGATCTTATTACATGTCCATACCATTGCATTCTTCGCCTTTTCACTGTAGTTAAAAGAGGTTCACAGTTGCCAATGTGCTGTATAATTTTATGGCGAACCTCTTCGTTTGTAATGTGGATGTGTTCTTGTGTTCTAATGTTCTTATCGTTAACCGACTATAAATGCCAGCAGAAAGTCGTGGTTGTGGTCGACTTCTAGACTGTGGTCTTGTTTTGCGTGCACATCTGTCCTATCTTGATTTCTACTTTCTTCTTCAGGCTCAACGGCTGTAACCTCTGTTGGGCAGTTCTGGTTGTTTGTCATTTTCTGAAGTGGCTAATTTGTATGCATAGTGTTGGTTCCTCGCCTCGCAGGCACTCTGAATCAAACACCCTTAATTATTCGCCTTTTACAACATGCTTCTTAAGAAGCAGTAGGCCTATCCCCCCCCCCCCTTTTCCAAATATCAAATAGGGCCTCAAAACCCAAATAAGGATGAGCTGCTTCCTTTCCTAGTAGTTGGCTTTTCTTCCTTATTTTTTTTTTTCAAAAGATTTTATAACATGCAAACATGTTCCTACATGTTTTTACAATGATTTTTTTTAAAGTGACCCACTCACCCCAATTTAAATAAACTGGTATGTTACAATCACTAATGTAGATAGAGCTTTGGGAGAGAACTAGGCAAGCTCCAGTGGACCTAGAGTCGAAGAAAAGACGCTGGCATTGGATAGGACACACATTGAGAAAACTGGAGAGCAATATAACTAGAATGTCTCTGCATTGGAACTCACAGGGGCATAGGAATAAAGGAAGGCCAAATGGAAAAGGGAGCTGGAGAATGAAGTTAGAAAGATGGGGAGGACATGAAGAGAGTTGCTTGTGATAGCAAAGGATAGAATGACTTGGCATGAGTTGGTTGAAGGCCTATGCTCCACTGGGGGCTAGAAAGGCAGAAGGAGACTCACCCCATTTTTGACATTAGTTTCCCATCTCAAAGCCATGTTTCTCAGGTCAAATAACTTGATGTCTCCGTTGTCATAGCCTGCAGCCACACATCTGTCCTGAGCACTGTATGCATCACCTGGCGGAATTATTGAAAAGTTTTAAAAGATTACATATAAGAAAGAGAAGCAGACACTATGCAGTACTATAGCATATAATGGATGAATCTGTATAACCTTAACTTATGTCAAGATGTGTGGCAATGTTCATCATCAACATCAAGTGCTTTGCCAGCTGGTGTAGGCGTTCATGCAACTCCACAGATCTCTGTCTTTGGTGTTCTGGATCAATTCCACTAATGATATTCCTCCATGCCACTGTCAGAAAGCATCCACCATCTTTCTCTTGGTCTTTCTCTGCCTTTTCTAGTGATCTTTCCAGTCATCACAACATATTCCAGTGCTCTGTTTCTCATCACATGACCAAAGAACTTTGTTTGTCTCCTTCTCATTGTTGTACATTTAAAAAAAAGTAAAGTAAAGATCCTTTTACACGCCCTTAGGTGCAGAGGGAAAAGCACCCATATTTTTAGACCAATCAGCACTCGGTGGGTAATGTGGTCAGCATTACGCCGGCCGTCTTTACTTTCCCAGGACAGCCCATCCTGGTACCCATTTGAGGTTGGGTCGACCTGCGATGTCTCATACCACGATAAAAATCCTATTTTCATTAGCCATTTCCAGACAATCATTGTTAGTTATTCTGGCAGTCCAAGGTATTCGCAAAATTCTGCTCAAGAACCACATTTCAGTTGTCTCCAAACTCTTCTTAGTTTGTGGCAATGTTACTCACATTGAATCGACAGATTTCCTGTATGAAGCCCTTTACAGCTACAATTGAATCTGTGGTCATTACTCGGTGTGCCGGACCCGATCATGAACAGTCTGTCAAAGAAGTCACGCCATTAAGAAACTTTCCACTCCACTCCTACACTTGCTGGACGGACATGCAAGCATACTGTACATTCACTCACCGATGAAATTCGATAGGTTTAACCCCTTCGCAGCTTAAGACAACAAATAACAGTCGCTGCCCTTCTTTGGTGCATGTCAAAAGTGGGGTGGCCATTTTAAAACTGTCATTATGATGTCACCATGTTCAATATACACAGTTGTAGCCCTGTTCTCTAGGCTTCCTTATTTCCCCAACACTCCTACATTAGGAAAATATCCAAAGAAAACTAACTACCTGGGACCTCTGCAGTGATGCTTGCCACTCTGCATGGAGGATGCCTGTCTCCACCTTTCTCAACATGCACTGAGAGTATGCTCAGTCACGACATGTGTGTGCAGCTTAACATATGTGTCTGAATTCTCCTTCTGTGAGGATTTTTTAAACCTTTTTCTTCTTCTGCATTCGCCCTAAAATAGGTGTTGAAACACTGTGTTGTCGTTTACAGCTAGGTTGCAACATCTGCACGATTTCAGCAAACCCCTAATTAGTTGCCTTTTATTAGAGGCAGTACATCTATTCTTGTTTACCTCAAAAAGGGGCCCTAGAACCCACACAGGGAGGATAAAGGGTGCCCCATAAGTTTTCATACATAGGATACATAGAACAATTTTATGAAAATACATTTTGATGTATGTCCGCCACTGCTGAAGAACACCCTGTATTTTCTAAATAGCACTTTACCATTTTGTTTAGTGTAATTTTCCCACAACTTAAACACACAACCAAAAAAAACCAAAGGGATCACTGACTGATATTCAACCCCCCAGGACATCACTCTGAAGAATAAACACCCGGTGACACAAAGTTCCACCATTCGAATAAGGATCACCCGAGGACAGGTCCCAGAAACCCTGTTCAACCCACAGGTTGAGTTATTTAGGGCCCCCAGCAACAGCCTGGGTGGGGCTTTAAAACAACAACAAAACTGCATCCGACATAGGATGTGAAGCTGCTTTAACAAAGGGAAAGAAAAAATGAATTACCAAAAGCCACAGTCCAGCAGTCACGTTTTGCTTCTCCTTCTTCAGGTTCCATTGTTGCTACAGGCTCGTCTTTCTGCCTGGGGTCCCACACTTTCACTATACCTGGTGTTTGTGACACAAACAATTCATTGGTTTATTGGTGATTACATAGTTAAGTTGAGTCAAGAACTGACATCACAGCACTCTGGACATTCCCATGCGTGCTCTGTCTTCATCTTCAGCAGCCAGCCAATACTGATGGTACTGATCACATTTTGGTTATATGTCAGTCTTGCCCACCTCTGAGTGTAGTCAGCCGTGCCAGATCCTCTGGATACACCCAGGTGTCTCATTCTCTCCAGGCCATAATAATCTTGTTTCTCTACTGATTCCGTTGCTGGTTTCTAAAGGGCCTTGACCACATCTGCCTTGTTAGTGATTACATAAACTCTAATGTCCAGTGCATCATTATCACGCTTCCATAACATCAGCTGCTGATCAGTTCCGTCTACCTATGTTGGTCAGGTGAAATAGACTTTATACAAACACATGTTTGAGGCCTACCCTTTGGCCAAATTGTTTACCCGGATCTTTCTTGGTCTGCCTCTTCTCCTCCTCCCCTCTGTCAAGCCCTGTAGTATCGCTTTGGAAGTATGTTGTACTTTACTAAAGTAAAAATAGTTAAGGACCCTGCTCCATGCCTTCAGGTGTATTGGGCATATAGGGCTAGACCTACTTTTATAGACCAATTGGCATTTGGAGGGGTAATGTGGTCAGCATCATGTCAGCCGTCTTTACTTCCCAGGACTGCAAGGCTGGGTAAAGCCAAGGTCATTTTTCGAAAAAAAGTCCAGCTCTGTTAGGACCCGAACCCATGACCTTCTGATCTGCAGGTGAGCATCTAGCCACGGGAGTACGTTGGAGCAGTTGATATGTAAAATGTCAAAGGAGACCACCCCCCTGGGTTAAAATGTGTGCCCGAGTACTTGTATGCTTCTGCTCTTTTGATTCTCCTATTATCTATCTGTATGTGGCTGGAGTCTCCATCCTTTCCCTCTCTAAATATTACCAGGCATTCTGTCTCATCTAGACTGACAATTAGTCCAATTTTTGGTAGCGTCTTATTTAGACTGATAATCAGTCCAATATTTGGAGGCGTGTTATCTAGACTGATCTTTAGTCCAATTTTCAGGAGCGTCTTAACTAGACTAATCATTAGTCCAATTTTTTGGGAGCATCTTATCTAGATTGATAATTAGTCCACTCTTTGGGAGCTACTTCCTTTATTAACTGAGTCAGTGTTTTTGCTGTCTCTAGTTTCTCCTACTATACATGTGTCATTTGCATAACCAAGTAAACCTGTTGCTTCTCGTATGGCACAATTTTTTTTTAAACCTGCTGTATAATTATCTAAAAACACATGGAGAATGGAATTAGAACAAGAGAAGACTAATACAGGAAGAGCATGGACAAAGTTACAAAAGATGGCAAGAGATAAGAAGGAGACGAAAGATAGCAGAATTAAGTAAACAGCCCTTCACACTCTGTTGCATTATTTAGACACATCTGTGTGTGTGTGTGTGTGTGTGTGTGTGGGTTAGTGTGGGTGCATGTGCACACACGTACATATATGTGTAAACAAGACAATATAAGTATATACCATTTGTGTTTCTAGCAGTAATATATGCATACATGTGTATATTCTTCTTTGTTCACCAGCTGTTAGCTCTGGCGGAAAGTCCTAAATGTTCGCCCATTTGGACTTTGGCTTTGTGCCAGGGCTTTGGTTTTGCATATACATCCATTTTATTGGCTCATTTGTGTGCAGGTGGTTGTTCCTTGCCGCTTGGGCAGATGCACGCTGACTCCAAAGGAAGTCCCCAGTTAGTGGACTCCTACGACATGCTTGCTGGGAAGGCAGTGGGTCTCTTCCTGTTTTCCCTACAATGGAGCCCGGTAACCCACACAGGGAGTGTATGCATGTGAAAGCAAGAGAAGACACATCACCTCTGCTTTTATAAAACAGTGAGTGTGTGCTTGTACACTCTTTAAAAGAAAAAAAATCAAGAGAGTACATGCCAATCCTGCTATGGACCATTAGTACTAATGTATATGTACGTGTACTCATGTAAATGTGTGTACACAAGAGAGTGCATGCCATCCCTGCTTCTAGTGGCAATGCATGTGTATATGGTGTGTGTGTGTGTCTGTGTATACATGTACATGTGTGTGTATACAAGTGAGTATTTACCATCCCTGATTCTCATGACAATACCTGTGTCTCTTTGTATACATGCATGTGTGTGCGTGTGGTGAGGAGGAAAAAAAAATCAGGGGGGGGGGGGGGGGGGTTGAGTGTGTGAGAGATAGAGGGGGAGGGAAGGTCGTGGAAAGTTAAACATCATGGCATGGAAGATCATTGGTATCAGAAGTGACGAAAAGAACACGAGACAGAAGGTGATGGACAGGCATGGACCATAAGTAGTAGTGTGTACGTACATGTACACATGTCCACATGTGTACACACAAAAACATTTACCATCTCTACTTCCAGTGACAATCTCTGGAGCTCCCTCCCCAATCCCCAAACCACCAATTCCATCAATGCTGTTGATAATCTCTTTGTGAGCCTGCACTGAGTAAACAGGTAGGTCTAAGGACTCCAAGTTCCTGGGAGACAAATACATTCATCTTTTTCAAGTTGCAAACATGTTTATTTATGTTAGCTTTAGTTTAGTTTAGTCAACAGATCAACATCATAGCACACAGGTGTAACTCATAAATGCTCTGTTCTGCTTCTAACTCAAACCTGAGTCTGAAGAATCTAAGGCCAGTGCACAAACTCCGTTGAGCTGCAAGGATCCTGAAATAATTTTTGGGTAGATTTTTAATTCAAATTTTGCCAGGGCAGCGTGGTTATTCTACTCTTTTTAAATTTCTACTGCCAAGGAATATTGTATGTGCATAACAATACACACAGGCGTCCGGTCTCACTACCCAGAGACCAGGGAAAATTACTAGAAGTCCACATGAAAAAATGCCAACCTTCACCGGGGTGTGATCCCGGGACTCCAGCACTCGAGGCAGACGCCTTTCCCCCAGACCACACAGTTTCCCCTTCTTCTTAGCATTCACTGGCTGTAAACTCAGGTGGAAAGTTGTGGTTGCTCATCCACTTCTAGACTTTGTCTTGTTCCACAACTTGTGTTATGCGTGCACATCCTTGTTACAGACCTAGCTTATCTATATGCAGACTGTTGGTTTTGGTTCCTCGCCTCTCATACAGGTGCAATCAAACTTTGAAGGACATTTTTTATTATTTAGTCACTTTGTACAACATGCCTGTTAGGAAGGCAGTGGGTCCATTCTTTTTCTCCCAAAATCCACAGAGATATCTGCTATTGATATTTATCATCATCATCCCCAAGTGCCTTGCAAAATAGTGTGGGCAATGATGCCTCTGAACAATTTAAGATTTCCAACAGCATGTACCAGTTTGTGTGCCGACACCCCTCCATGTCATGTCAAAAAGCTGTCATGAATCTTCTCACGATGTTGTCCGCTGTCCCTCTTTCCCCCCAAATAATCTTCCCAGTGTTACATCATGTTCTAGTTCACCTCTTCTCATCTTTTTCTTCTTCCACCTTGTACCTCATCGAAGTGTCGGGGGGAGATGTAATGTTCGTTGATGGGCTCTGTCAAGAGCACTATTAAGACTGATGTTCATTTCTGTAAGGCTATTCTTAATGCCACCACTCATATTTTCCGAGGTCTTCCACTTGCTCTATACCCATTGTAATGTTTTAGTGTGGCTCGCTGTGGCGGATAGTACCAGGGCATTCTTGTAATGTGTCCAAACCATTTTATTTGTTGCTCTTTGATGACCTGTAAGACTGGCTTTATTCCTCGTCTGATTTCATATTCAGTCTTTCCTTGAAACTCCTGCAGCTCTTCTAAGGCATTTCATCTCTGTTGTCACAATTTTACGTTCATTGGAGGGTGTAAGTGTCAACATTTGGCATTGATAGCATAGTGTCCTCTTCTTATCACATGACCCAAAAAAATGATGACTGTCTTCTTCTGATGTTTGTGGTAAGTTGTCTTTCAGCCCTCACCTTTTTCACAAAATCTGAGTTACTCATTCTGGCTGTGTAAGAAACTTTAAACATTCTTCTACAAAACCACATCTATGACAATTGGCAGTACACAATATGTGAGAATTCAGTTTCTAAGCCTTCCACAACAGGAATCTAGTACATGAGATTTTTGATGAGTGTTTTGTTTTATTAAATGTTCCTGAGATAACTGTGTTTCTTAACCTCAACCTCTGGAAGAATAAACTGGAAAAGTTGCCAGAGCACAGAACAGACAATTTATTTACACCAGCAATGTGTCTTCCTTAAACTCTTATCCCAATAAGAGGAATTTCTGATAAAAACAACATTTGCTTGGGTCCTTAGTAAGTTCTCATGATTGGGTCTGCACTGTATTACAGAAAACATTTCATCATCATCATTATCTCATAACACTGTGTGTCACTAGGTCACCAGTTTCTGTTGACTCTCTGATCAGCTCTCTCCACCTATGGCAGTCAGCTGTGACAGACTTCATGGCTGCATGCCTGAGGCCTGTCCAGTTGTTAGGTTATGTAACAAGGTCTTTCTTGGTCTGCCTCTTCTTCTCCTTCCCTCTATTGAGCCCTGCAGTATGGTTTTTGATAGGCTGCTTGATCTTAAACATTTGGCAGTCTTGTTTACCAAACACACAAAAGACATGCTTTTATGAAAGAACATAAATGTATCACTAACAATAGCAGATGATGATGATGATCAATTCAATCAATCCAACAAGTGCTGTCTCCACAATAAAGGTGGCTGCAATGGATCTCCGACGTGCTCTTTTGCATTTCTTGGATGTAGTCTCAGACTGCTGTTTGTCCATCTCTTTATGTTATCCTCTCATTTGTATCCCTGTATGCCTCTTGCTCCCTTGCCTTTGGCGTGTACATTCAGTATGGTTTGTATAAGTGTTATTAGTCTTAGTCGAGGTTTTAACTTCACTACACTCGGGTCACCCTATACTTGCTCCATTCCTGTGCCAGAAAAAATCTTATGAAATATCTCTCTTAGTTGAGGTTTCAACTTCCTTGCAATCGGGTTTCCCCATACTTGCTCCGATCCTGTGCCATATGAAAAATTGTTCAACAAACAATTGTCCAGGCACAGTGCAGAAATATGTGTATGCAGTAAATGCATACAGCAGTTGCTAGAGGTGCCAAAACCAACAGTTGAAACCAGAAATGCAGTTTGTCACTGATGGAAGTAGTCGGTCAATATAAGGTGGCCATTCACACGTACAATTATTACATAAGGTATTTCACCAGCCCACACGTAAACCGACCACCCGCTAGATTGAATACCACGACTCAGCCGCTGCACAGATGAAAGGCATTCCACAATAAGTGTTATTATATCTTTGAATGTAGTCAAAACTTTTCACTTGTCATATCTTTTCTTTTTCAATTCTTTTACTTTCTAATTTTTTTCAGAACCTCTGTATTTTATAATTTTTGTTTCCATGAAATACAACTAATTTTTCTGAATATTCGCATCTCCATAGATGCTGTATGCTTTTCCATTTGTTTGATTAGTTACCCAAGAAGTTACTACAGTAAATTTATAATTGTTAAATAACTCGAATACCATATCTGAAGTTTGCCTGTAAAATCTCCTGTAGCCAAAAATCTGTTCTGTAAACTTGAAGCACCAAATGTTCCACACTTGAATGGCTTGGACTTTTCAACCTAAAGAGCAATTTAGAAATCTATTAGACATGTTTTTAAGAAGAGAATAATATGTCTATTTCCTCAGTTGGAAAATGTGTTACATAATGAACACTTCTACACAAATATATATTTTACAAATACCTTCCTCCACAATCTTCTTCTACTTCTTCTTTGTTCACCAGCTGTAATCTTCTTCTACTTCTTCTTTGTTCACCAGCTGTAATCTTCTTCTACTTCTTCTTTGTTCACCAGCTGTAATCTTCTTCTACTTCTTTGTTCACCAGCTGTAATCTTCTTCTACTTCTTCTTTGTTCACCAGCTGTAATCTTCTTCTACTTCTTCTTTGTTCACCAGCTGTAATCTTCTTCTACTTCTTCTTTGTTCACCAGCTGTAATCTTCTTCTACTTCTTCTTTGTTCACCAGCTGTAATCTTCTTCTACTTCTTCTTTGTTCACCAGCTGTAATCTTCTTCTACTACTTCTTTGTTCACCAGCTGTAATCTTCTTCTACTTCTTCTTTGTTCACCAGCTGTAATCTTCTTCTACTTCTTCTTTGTTCACCAGCTGTAATCTTCTTCTACTTCTTCTTTGTTCACCAGCTGTAATCTTCTTCTACTTCTTCTTTGTTCACCAGCTGTAATCTTCTTCTACTTCTTCGTTCACCAGCTGTAATCTTCTTCTACTTCTTCTTTGTTCACCAGCTGTAATCTTCTTCTACTTCTTCTTTGTTCACCAGCTGTAATCTTCTTCTACTTCTTCTTTGTTCACCAGCTGTAATCTTCTTCTACTTCTTCTTTGTTCACCAGCTGTAATCTTCTTCTACTTCTTCTTTGTTCACCAGCTGTAAGCTCCGGTGGAAAGTCCTGGTTGTTCGTCCATCTGGATTTTGTCTCTGTGCCAGGGCCTGAGTTATTTTGTGCACATCTGTTTTACTGCCTCATTTGTGTGCAGTTGGTTGTTCCATGTCACTCAGGCAGATGCACTTTGACTTTGAAAGGAAGCTCCCAATTAGTCAATTCCTACGATTTGCTTGTTGGGGAGGCAATGGGTATGTTCTTGTTTTCCCCACAATGGGCCCACAGAACCCACACAGCGATTCCACAATCATTTGCAAGAATATATTTCAAGTAAGAAGAAAAAATTTAACTTATTTTTTTAATAAAGATATAATAAATTTATAACACTGTATATGTTATGTTATCACAATCAACATCATAGCACAATGGTCATTCCCATGAATACTCAGCCCTCCGACGCAGCAGCCACCCCGAGGTACCATTACTGACTGTTCCCATGAGAAGCTGGTTATAATGTCTCCTGATATGACTTTGACCAGGCATCGACATGCTTCACTCCAAATTCCTGCAGCCGTGTTAATGTTAACATCAGAGATTAATTTCTATCTGCCTATCTAGTCTGTACAGATAGTGCTGATATCTGCATCGTCCATAAACGTTCCCACATGCAGAGATGCAATACTTGTCGGCTAGTCAGCTAATTCACTGTCTTCCACTCTGACATGCCCAGGTGTGTATGTTCAGGTGAGTGAAATTAAGTGCGACTTCCGAATGCTGTCTATCTATTCAGCGTGCCAGCTGTCTGTTGCACTTTTTCTAAGCATGTTCACTGACCCTGATATGATCATGGCATGTGTGGCTGCCTGTTCTACTGACCCATGTGAGCGCTCTTGAATAAACAACCAGAACTTTCAGCCAGAGTTAACAACTGGTAAATACTAAAAAGAAAAAAGACTGGGAACTCTTGAAGCCTCGCTGCAGGTACAAATGTACTTCAACTCATGACCAATATGAGGTGCCTTGTTGGCCATGCATCAAACTACACTCATACCTGCAGGGAGGTGCCATCACCAGTTTGGATGTGACACGTTTTATACCCAGTACTGTAACTAATGTTTTTAATTTTTATAAGATCTCAGTCAATCAGGCACTGTCTGTGTAACAAAAGGTAGCAGCAAATGATCCCTAACATGCTGTCTTTTGCTCTGAAAGTACTCTCTCAGATTCGTCCATCTCTTGTTGTTATCTTCCCACCTGTATCGCTGTTCTTTCTTTTACATCTATGATGAATTTATGATCTGTAAATTTATCAGGCTAGTTTAATATTTAACATGTGAAATATTATTGGAACACCATGTTCTCTTAAGTAAGTAACGGTCTAACGTGCCTTGAGGCATATGGATATACAAAAAGCAAAGCAAATGTCCCTTTTCCACGCCTTCATGCATACTGGGCAAATAGGGCTAGACTTATATTTGTATAGACCAATCGGCACTTGGTGGTTGATGTGGTCAGCATCATGCCGGCCACCTTTACTTCCAAGGACTGCACCTGTACCCACTTAAGGCTGGGTCGACTTGGAAGTCAAGGTCATTTCTGAAAAAAAAGAAAAAAAAGTCCAGCTTGATCAGGATGCGATCCCACGACCTTCCGATTTGCAGGTGGGCGTCTAGATGTCAACGCTACAGCGACTCCTATATGAAAATACAGTCTCCCGTGTGGGTTCCGGGGCCCTTTTGTGGGGAAAACAAGAATAGACCCACTGCCTCCCTAAAAGGATGTCGTAAGAGTCGACTAACTGGGGAGCTTCCTTTGAAGTCGGAGTGCATCTGCCTGAGAGGCAAGGAACCAGCAGTCTGCATTCAATTGAATTAGATCTGAAAAACTGATGCACACGCAACACTCAGGTTCTGGAGCAAGACTGCAGTCCAAAAGTGGGCGAACAACCAGAACTTTACGCCAGAGTGTACAGCTGGTGAACGCGAAGAAGAAGAAAAAGAAAATACAGAGTAACAAAAATAATCCCTGAAAACTCAAATAATACTTGATATTTAATTACACATGAGGGCTCAGCAGGATATTCTACTGAAAATTACTTCTGCTACAAGATGAGCTTGAGTTGGGTTGAGTCAAGAATTGACATCACAGCACTCTGGGCATTTCCATGTGTGCTCTGTCCTTATCATCAGCAGCCTGCGCAGAGTTCCAATTCTGATGGCACCAGTCACAATCTGGTTATATGTCCGTGTTGCCTTTCCTCTGAGTGTAGTAAGCCAGCCAGACCTTCTGGTTACACCCAGGTGCCTCATTCTCTCCAGGCCATAATAATCGTGTTTGTCTACTGATTGGGTTGCTTGTTCCCAAAGGGCCTTGACTTCTGCTACAAATATGGATACATCAAATGATGCATAATCTTACTATCAACATAAATGAAAACGTCTGATGAAATGAAAAAGAACGTACATCTTTGACAACTTTGAAATCACCATGTGAGACTTCGTAGATCTGCAGTGCCCCTGTGCCTCTTGCATAATTTCCCAAAGCCACAAACTTGGCACTACACGGAATCCATTTGGAATCGTAGAGGGTATAGTTCACACACTTTTGGATATGGAGAATAATCTGTGGTTTGTCCATTTTGACAAAACTGTTCGTTGCTTATCTTAATAACCTTTCAATTACAAAACTAAAGCTGAAGTGAAGCAGTTAAAGTTTGATAGACTTAGACTTCAAAACTTGAAAAATTTGCTACTTTTATTTAATAATTTATAAACCAGCTCAATCCTTTGTAGTATGTAGATGATTCAGTCACAGACTGTTAGAACTAAAACTTAAAAATTAAACAAAAATCAAACACATAAATAAAGGAAAATGTTCAAACTTATTTAAGGATTTCATATGAATGGAACACTTAAATTCTTCACAATCATCAGGTCTTGTCTCGGTCGGGAAAGATGGAAGATGTCAACAACACAACACTTTTATTTTAAAGATAAATCATTACATTGTAGACAACGGAGGTTATTATTGTTTAAAATTTATGCTGAATATAACCACGAAAATAAAACACTTGTGGGAGATGAAATCCTGTCTCACGTCGTCTGTTTCTAACAAAATCCGTTTTTGGAGACCGGCGTCATTCCAGCCGTACCACACATGGATTCCAGTACAGAAGAGTCATCTTTCTCCCCCATTTGGATTGTTTAGCTTTCAATTAAATATTGCATTTTCTGTACAAAGGAAGTTATATGATATTCTAATTTTTCTTTAAAAATTATAGTGTCATCTTTACTTAAATATGTGTAAAGATTCATTTGTATTCAATCTTCAATAAAAAAAAACTGTTAATACAAATTATAATTTTAATAAGGTCTCCCTATTCACATGGAGACGAGGTAAACAGTAACCGATATTTATGTCATCATCAAGTGCCTCGCCGACTGGTGTAAGCAAGAATACTTCTTAACTATTTTGCGATCCCTTACACACACAAAATATCACTTCTTGTGATAGCACATAATGCGTTTCCGGGTCATGAGAAATTGCAATTTTAAAAAAAATTGGGGGGGGGGGGGTAGGGGGGTCTTTCTACAGCAGGTTCTAGCGTGTCTTCTCAGTCACAATGCGACCCCAAAATATTATAATATTATATTTCTGATAGTAATATGTCCTTGCACTCGCCCTATTTAAAAATTTAGATTACTTGCATTGGTAGTCCAATACATATCAATAGCTAAAACTTTATAACCACATCTCTTAGTAAACAATGAGGACAAGAATTTACAGCACATGATTTTAAACGAAAACAATGAAGCTGTTATGTTACTTTTTAAATTCTGTTTTTATTCATCTGAAGCAGAGTTCATAGCCTCTTATTCAGGGCTTTCCCCCCGACAGTATGCAGTACTGAGACGGGAGCCCAAAGACAACTTAACACAGACATCAGAAGAAGACAGTCGTCATTTGGCGGCCATGTTATGAGAAGAGGGAAAAAAGAACATGTTGTGACCACTGGGAAGATCTGTGAAAGGAGGGATAGAGGAAGACAACGAAAGAAGATGCGTGACAGTTTTGTTGCATGGCATGGAGGTGTGTCAGCACACGAACTGATACAAGCTGCCGGAGATCGTGGATTATAAAGAGGCATCATCGCCCACGTTAGTCGGCAAGGTACCTTTAAAACCCTTTCTAGAGTGACAAGTCGAGTGCTCGAAAGTAAGAGGTAAACGGGAGTATACTTGGCAAGAAAACGTCAAGAGAACTGAGACGTGTTGCTGATTTCATAACAGGTTTTTTTTCTTTTTATCTATCGGCAAATGTTTGACCCATTCTATATTAGGTGACTTTCCCATAATACTTTAATATAAACATGCATGTTCTGTGCGTGCATTTCATGGGAAAGGTTTCATGTTTTGTGGTTCATTGCATGTTGATGTAACTATGCAGTATTGCACCTAACCAGATACGGCGAAATCTACCTGGCAATAAATTGCTGCAATGTAATTGACGAGCAGCGGTTTAAGAGAGTGTAAAAACTAGAACCGGCTCCATCTTTACAACAACCCTCACCACAGACACCACCAATGTCATCATTGAAATATCCGTGTAAACTGCATAAAACAAATATGCATAAGCAATTTTGTATGATGTTTACATGCTAGAAATTGTTTACTTTATGTTTCTATGTTGTCATATTGTGTGTAACTATATATGCGTAATCTCAAGCTTATTACTATGATTCTTGTTGGAGACGGCAGGGAACACACCGAAAAACGAGACTGTCAAGGTGAAAAAATAACGTATTGTCAGCCTGTCTTGGTGACGTCAGCAGCATACCTGTCAGATGCACATAAATGAACAGAGGGGTGCCCTTTGAAGCCGTTAAATATTATGAATTAATCAAGTAACAGAAAATGTATTGATGGCGCTCATAGAAAGAAGGAGAAAGATAGAAGAACACACTAGACAACATAAAAATCGAAAGCTATAGTTACCGTTCCGGGAATTGAACCTGTCACCTCCAGATGGCGTGTGCGCCTCGCCATGAATACAAGTGCATTAAGAACATGGTCATTTATTCACCCCCTTTCTACTTCTTTCTATGAGTGCCGATCAATACACGTTCTCCCCGTGTGCGTTCCGGGGCCCTACTATGAGATAAAACAAGAATAGACCCACTGCCTACCCAAAAGCATGTCGTAACAGTCGACTAATTGGGAGCTTCCTTTGAAGTCGGAGTACATCCGCCTGAGAGGCAAGGAACCAACAGTCTGCCTACAGATCTGTCAAACGGATGCACACGCAACACTCAGGTTCTGGAACAGGACTGCAGTCCAGAAGTGGACGAACAACCAGAACTTTTTGCCGGAGTTAACAGCCGGTGAACGTGAAGAAGAAGAAGAATACACTTTCTGTTACTTGATTAATTCTGTCAGATGCAGACGGCCTTGGTACAACCAAGAGAAAATAGCGTTTAGTGGAGATCCATTGCAGCCAACCTTGACTGTCAGACACGGAAACTGATTGATTGCCATTTGTGACAGTATTGTTGTCGTTCTTGTGGCTGTTCTTCCTATTGTTATTACTACAACTAATATTATTACTATTTTATTATTTTTATCAGGGCTTTTCCCCGAGGCATAATTTTTCTAGCGCTACTTTGACAGACACGTTGTGGTAAATAACAATTTTTTTTTTTTTTTTAGATACCCTGTAGTGAGTACCAGAATGCACTCAAAATATGTTTTCCTTTTCGGGGCAATGCAGCATTACGGATCATCATCTTTGTCCACAACCACTTGTTTCATTTACTTCAGTAATTTCTTAAACGCGCTTTCATGCCATGATACCACAATTTTCTCACTTGGTTCTCACTGTCAGTCAACTTTCATGATGCCACAATCTTTTCGCTTTGTTCTCACAGTCACTCAACTTTCATGATACCACAATCTTTGCACTGTCACTCAACTTTCATGATACCACAATCTGCTCACTTGGTTCTCACTGTCACTCAACTTTCATGATACTGCAATCTTCTCACTTGGTTCTCACTGTCAGTCAACTTTCATGATACCATAATCTTCTCACTGTCACTCAACTTTCATGATACCACAATCTTCTCACTTGGTTCTCACTGTCAGTCAACTTTCATGATACCACAATCTTCTCACTTGGTTCTCACTGTCACTCAACTTTCATGATACCACAATCTTCTCACTTGGTTCTCACTGTCACTCAACTTTCATGATACCACAATCTTCTCACTTTGTTCTCACTGTCACTCAACTTTCATGATACCACAATCTTCTCACTGTCACTCAACTTTCATATCACAATCTTCTCACTTGGTTCTCACTGTCACTCAACTTTCATACCGCAATCTTCTCACTTGGTTCTCACTGTTACTCAGCTTTCATGATACCACAACCTTCTCACTGTCACTCAACTTTCATACCACAATCTTCTCACTTGGTTCTCACTGTCCCTCAACTTTCATCATGTCTCCAAGGTTCTTGTGAGATCTTAATCATCATCATCCTGTAACCACTGCATGTCACTTGGTCATCACTTGCTGTTGACTATCTGATCAGCTCCTTCCCCGGTCAGATGCGATTGACTTTATTTTTGCATGCCCAAGTCAGTCAAATTCTGTATCCAGGTCTTTCTTGGTCTGCCGCTTCTTCTCTACTGTGACCTGTAGTATTGTTTTTGAGAGCCCGTTAGATCTTATTACATGTCCACACCATTTCATTGACCACATTTTCACTGTAGTCCTCTTATGAGATAATTCCTTTCAAACTTCAGCAAAACCCTTAAAAACACGAAATCACGTAAGAACACTTTGTTAACATAAACAAAATATTGGTCCTAATAGGGAGGTATTATCATTATAAATTCCCAAATAGCACAACTGATTGATTGTTTAACATTCAACACACCAGGACATCACACCAAGCGATAAACACCTGGTGACACAAAGTGCCACCGTTCGGATGAGGATCAACCGGGGATAGGTCCCAGAAACTACCGGAAGTCACATTGACCACCACGACCTCCTGCAGCTTTTAATAGACTACCGGAGATCACCTTGACCAGAATGTATCCTGTAGTTCAGCACCTATGTATCCCCAAGGACTGATACAAAATTCATTCTTTTAAATGTTCTTTTTTTCTACTCCTGCCTGGTACCACATGAATTTGAACGCTTTCCTTGCTGTTGAAGATGGGGATGGAGCGATTATGGGAGTGTCCCGAATGCTATGATGTTGATTCTTATTTTCAACATTCATTTCTCTACTCCTGGAATGCCTCACAGCATCAGGGCAGGAAGAGATCTTTCGAGTGGGCCCTTCTGTTTGCTTTGAATATAGTACTTTTCACAGTCTTGGATATTTCCACGGTCCATATTTTACGCGGTCGACCTCTGGCTCTGTTATCACAGTATCTGTTTAACATTGCTCTCTGTGTTGCTAAACTTGTTATACATAGCCTAGGCATTTTATCTTTTAACATTTTTTGAATATCTCATGAATAAATGCAACGCCACCCTCCCCTTCCACACTTCCCACATGCAGTATGAAACAACTTCAAAAATCAGACACGTTTTAGTGATACTTGATCATATTTATTGAGTTTTA